ATGTGAAATCGCATATTTTATGTGCTATAAGGTGAATTATGCGGATATTATGCCGGATCATAATCCTGGACACTCTAGTGGGGGTAGGCAAAATCTCAGGTCTAAATATATGTATATAACCAATCAAAACGACTAAATTTCTCAGAAGTGAGGGAGGGGGTGAGCTCTATAGTAAACTGATCTCAGCCAATATCTGACACGTCCCTAAGTAATTAATTTTAGGCATCTATAAACAAGAAGCTGGGGCCAAATTTTTTTCTAAATGAAAATTTCTCGCCAATCAACTATCTAATTCGATCGAAATTTTTTTACTTTAATTTTAAGAACAAACAGAATTAAGATATAAAAAAGTTTCATCAAATATGAATGGTCATTATCGAGAAATTTTCGGTAAAGTTTAAATAAAAATTTATTGCAATTTCTTATTTTTTAAAAAAATTTCACTAAGATTTCTTGACAATTAACTATTTAAATTCAATAAAAGTTTTTTATTTTAATTCTATAATTTCATAGAATTAAAAATAAAAGAAAATTGATCGAATTTAAATAGCTAGTTATCGAGAAATGTTCAATGAAAAGTTTAGCCGCAGCTTCTTGTTTATAGACACCTAAACTTTGAAGATTACTCAACACTTACCTGACAAATTTCAATCTATTTTTTATTTATTTTAATCCTATAAACTCATAGAAATAAAATAAAATAAAAATTGATCGAATTTGACTAGGTAAGTGCCAAGTAATATTCATTCAAAGTTTAGGAATATATAAACAAGAAGCTGTGACTAAATTTTTTCAACTTTTAATGAATGTTTCTCGGCAACCAACTATTCAACTTTGATCAAATTATTTTTTTTATTTTAATTCTAAAAAAATTTCATCGGATCTGGATAGTTAGTTGTTTAAAAAATTTTCGAATTTATTGATAGGATCTTCAAGGTAAGTGTCAGGTTGTCTATGATCGACACATACATACTACAGTACTATCGACAAAATCAAACTCGAAATTTGATTGGTTAGCACTCACGTTATTATCTACGTACGTTGTCACAGAAAATTTTGTCAGTATACTAATTTAGTCCATAATTAGTATCTCTTTCATTACCTTGTTGCTCTATAATTAGTAGATCATTACTACATTATTAACATCGGATTATGATTACATTTCTGAGTAATGATTACTGCATTCCGACGTAGTGAATTGGCACTACATTCTTAGTAAATAGACGTAGTTATTACCACATTCTTAATTCCAGCTAGATGTATATATAAAAGGATCGTTGCATGTAAAAAGAAGGAATAATGATTCTTTTAGATCTTAACTGTATATAATAAATATAATATTTGCTCTCCCAACAACATAAAACTTACATTCCTTTAAGACCCTAATGTTCACGGCTTAAAGCTAAATTGGCAACGAAGTTCATTAAGTCTCTCCCAAGCCGTGACATTTTTGGTGCCAGTTGTGTGAATTGATCGTCATATCTCCGCGCCTTCTTATATTAAAGGGCATAATTGAAGGCTAATTATGTGGGAAAGGATGTTAGATCTGATGAATAAAGGCGAAATGATTAGAGACAATAACAGTTTAATTGGTAAGAATCAACCCAATGATTTGCAACAACTACTCAAAGGTATGGTAAACGTTTTGGCTCAATTACAAGAGTCCCAGTTGAGTTTAGAGGAACAAACTTTTGCGAAGATCCCGACGTATGCAGGAGGAAATCAGGACCCAGTCGAATGGTTAGAATCAGCTAACAGCAGTTTTGAGGTGAACAATATTGTTGGCACAAGAAAGCTGGCTGTTGCGAGTGCCAGTTTGATGAGTCTCGCTGCGTTTTGGTGGAAAGATCGAAGAAGAGTGGAACCAAGAATTCTGTACTGGGATAATGAGTGTGATCAGAACGAAGTTTCATACACCAATTCCTCTCGAATTTTTGTACCCGGCTATGGTAGCCCAGTGAAATACAGAGTTGTTTATCTGTAGGCAAGGTGCCATGGAAACTGTGGATCAGTACGCCGCCAATATATTGGTGTTGTTTCGTCGTACGTCGAGAGTTGGAAACCAGTACTCTGAGAGTACAAAAGTGGAAATGTTTGTACAAGGCCTCCATCCAGATCTATCGTTGTCTGTCCAACCGTTTATGCTGAGTACCCTTTGGGAAGCTATAGAAAGGGCCCAGATATAATCTCGCGCAATTTGGTTGCGTGCCTTGTTGAAGTTTGTAATTCGGAATTGAGCATGGTAGTTGCCTCAAGTAGTGTCTTCTCTGACACCACAAGTAGCAACCTACGTGTCCCCAACAACAGAGAACCCCATGGAACAAGTGGTCTCCTTGCTACAAGAGGTTGCCTCCGCTGTGGTAAACAAGACCAACAAAAATGAAGTAGCGACATGTCATGTGAACACGGATAAAATTGAGAAGCAAATGAAAACGAAACCTGCCGTTTCTCTAGTAAATACAAACCTGGACAATAAAGCCCCGAAGCGGACCTCAATAAAGAAGTCACAAGGACAGGGAGACAAAAGACTAAAGATGACAAACATAGGGTTTCAAGTAAAAGAGTATATGTTTGTCAAAATGATGGTAATGATGATAAGAAAGAGCATATGTATTGGAATGAACGTGTTTTCTATAGTGATTTACTGTAAAAAATTCTGGTTTACTGTACTTACTCGCTATAGTAATACAAGTGGTTTAGATATGGTTATGTTAGTTTTGTATTGGAATGAACGTGTTTTCTATAGTGATTTACTGTAAAAAATTCTTACAG